AGTCCTAAATCTGCTCCCTCTAATCTTGAGGCTATGCCCTCTTGTCCTAGCTTCACCTGCCAGTGGAAACATCCTCTTTATTTCTCTTATCTATTCCCTTCATAATTTTATATGTTTCTATAAGATCCCCCCTCAATCTTCTGAATTCCAAGGAATATGATCCCAATCTACTCAGAAGCATGAAAAATCATTACTTAAGATTCTAATGCCTTGTATTTATAGGACATCTTTGATGTAGAACAACATCCTCAGGTGATCACAAAATCATAAATTGGGGCAAAGTGGATGCTGGGCCAAAGAACCTAGGCAGGGTGAATAAAATCAGTCATTTGAAATACTGCAGGAGGCACTGGAAGCACACTTAGTGAGTCACAGTATTTATAAAGGAAAAGATGTTTCGGTGGGGGAAGCACAAACAATTAGTTTGCATTCTTCCTGGACTTTTTTCTCAGCAATGATCCTGGAACATTTCATCACCACAGATTTAAATGCTCAGTGCATAAATAACTATGTGCTACACCCGTTAGTACATTAACATTAATAACATGGGAGCAAAAAAGTTGAACCGGACTGGCCATATAAATTCTGTGGCTACAAAACCAGGTGAGGAGCTAAGAACTTTGCAGTGGGAAATTCACTGACTCCTCAAAATCTGCTCGCCATTGACAAGGCACAAGTCAGGATGTGACAATATACTTTCTATTTGCCTGAACGAATGTAGCTTCAAAAGAGGTTTGGATCAATCAAGATAAAGCAGTCCACTTGAATGGCATCCCATACGTTGCCTTAACACAAAAATAATGAAGACAGGAGCAAAAGTAGGCCATTTGATGCCTCAAGCCTTTTCTTTAATTTACTTGTGTGATATAGGTACAGCTGGCTGGGCCAGCATTTATTGCCCTTCCCTAATTGCCTTTGGGAAGGTGGTCGTCAGCTACTTTTTTGAACCACTGCAGTCCACATGCTCTAACTTTACCCAAAATGCCATTAGGGAGGGAACTACAGGATTTTTGCTATCTAAGGATCTTTGGTGAATTTCTGAAGTGCATCTTGTAAATAGCAGAGAGTGGATGCTTGTGGATGTGGTGCCAATCAAGCGGCTGCTTTGTCCTGGATGGTGTCAACTTCCGAGTGTTGTTGGAGCTGCACCCATCCAGGGAGTATTCCATCACATCTGACTTGTGCGTTGCAGATGGTGGACAGGCTTTGGGGAGCCAGGAGGCGAGTTACTCGCCACGATATTCCTAACCTCTGACCTGCTCTTGTAGCCACTGTGGCTAGTCGAGTTGAGCTTCTGGTCAATGATACTCCCAAGGACCTTGATTGTTGGGGATTTAGTGCTGGCAACATCATTGAATTTCAAGGGAGTAATTTGATTCTCTCTCATTGGAGATAGTCATTGCCTGGCATTTGCAATGGCATAAATGTTACCTGCCCTTTGCCAGCCCAACCCTGGATATTGTCCAAATTTTGTTGCATTTGGATGTGAACTGCTACAGCATCTGCGATGACGCAAACAGAGTCAGAGATATACAACACAGAAACAGACTCTTCGGTTCAACTCATCCATGCTGACCAGACACTATACAAATCTAGTTCCACTTGCCAGCTTTTGGCCCACTTGCCAGCTTTTGGCCCACTTGCCAGCTTTTGGCCCACATCCCTCTCAATCCTTCCTATTCATATACCCACACAGATGTCTTTTAAATGTAATTATACCAGCCTCCACTACTTCGGCACCACCCTCTGCGTGAAAAGGTGCCCCTTAGGTCCCTTTTATATCTTTCCCCTCTCATCTTAAACCTATGCCCTCTAGTTTTGCATCACCTGATTGATTTATTGTAACACGTACCGAAGTACAGTGAAAAGCTTTGTTTACAAACAGTGCAGGCAGATCATAGTAACTAAGCATGTACAGATCAAACGATTTAGGCAGAGGCATACAGGTTACACTGCACAGGACACATGATAGGTGAGATCAACATTAGCTAGATCAGCATTTTTTTTTTTTTTGGAGGCTAGACCGTCCATTCTTCAGTCTACTATCGGCCATGAAGAAGCTGTTCCTGAACCAGCTGGTGCGTGTTCAGACTTCTGTATTCTTCTGCCTGATAGAAGAGGTTGTAGGAGATTATTACCAGGGTGTGATGGGTCTTTGAACATGTTGGCAGCCTTTCCACAGCAGCGAGTTGCGTAAATAGAATCCATGGATAGAAGGCTGGTTTCCGTGATGGTTTAGGCTGTACAAACCACCCTCTGTAGTTTCTTACAGTCCTGGGCACAGCAGTCAGGGGTGTAATGGAATAGTCACCACTTGCCTGGATGAGTACTGCCCCAACAACACTCAAGAAGCTTGACACCATCCAGGACAAAGCAGCCTGCTTGATTGGCACTACGTCTACAAGCATTCACTCCCTCCACCACCGACGCTTAGTAGCAGCAATGTGTACTATCTATAAGATGCACTGCAAAAATTCACCAAAGATCCTCAGACAGCACCTTCCAAATCCATGGCCACTTCCATCTAGAAGGACAAGGGCAGAAGATGTATGAGAATACCACCACCTCCAAGTTCCCCTCCAAGTCACTCACCATCCTGACTTGAAAATGTATTGCCGTTCATTCACTGTCGCTGGGTCAAAATCCTGGAATTCCCTCCCTAATAGCATTGTGGGTCAACCCACAAAGGACTGCTGTGGTTCAAAAAGGCAGCTCACCACCACCTTCTCAAAGCAACCAAGGATGGGCAAGAAATGCTGGCCAGCCAGCGATGCCCACATCCCACAAAATGAATAAAAAAAGAAAGTTGCCATACCAGCCTATTATGCACCCAGACAACATGCTTTCAATGTTGAACTGTAGAAGGTGGTGAGGGACTTAACGAACATGCCAAATTTCCCAAGCCACCTCAGGAAGAAGAGGCGTTGCTGTGCCTTCTTGACTGTTGCATCTACATGGGAAGTCCAGGGCAGGTTGCTGATTATCGTCACTCAGAGGAACTTGACTCTCTCCACCCTCTCAAACTTAGTTCCATTAATGTAGGTGGGGGCATGTTCTCCTTTCTTTCTGAAGTCAATGATCAATTCTTAAGTTTTGCTGACGTTGAGAGAGAGATTGTTATCATTGCACCATGTCACCAAGCCCTCTATTTCCCTTCTGAATTTTGACTCTATTTGATATCTGTCCTACTACGGTGGTGTCAGCAAACTTGTAGCTGTTGTTCATTTGAAATTTGGCAACAGTCGTAGGCGTACAGGTAGTACAGTAGGGGGCTGAGGACACATTCTGGGGGGGCTCCAGTGTTGAGGGTTATCACACTGGAGGTGTAGTTACTTGTTTTCATTGATTGCGGTCTGTGGGTCAGAAAGCTAAGGATGCATTTGCAGAGGCACAGCGGAGACCAAGGTCATGCAGTTGTGAGATCAGTTTGCATGGGATAATGGCAAAGGCATCTCCCACCCCAGGAACTAGACCTATTTATCCTGTCCACGCCCCTCAATTTTATAAACCTCGACAAGGTCACCCCTCAGCCTCCGACACGTCTGGGAAAATAGCCCCAGACTATTCAGCCTCTCCTTATAGCTCAACCCCTCCAACCCTAGCAACATCCTCGTACATCTTTTTTGAACCCTTATGGTGCTAAACATTGTGCAATCATTCTGACCTTATGATGGAGGAAAGGTCATTTATGAAGCAGCTGAAGATGGTTGGGCCTAGGACACAACCCTGAAGAACTTGTGGCAGAGATGTCCTGGAACTGAGATGACTGACCCACTACAACTATAACTATCTTCCTATGAGCCAGGTATGACTCCAACCAGTGGAGTTTGCACCAATACCCATTGATTTCAGTTTTGCTAGGGGTCCTTGATGCCACACTTGGTCGAATGCAGCCTTGCCATCAAGGCTGTCACTCTCACCTCACCTTTGGAATTCAGCTTTTGTCCATGTTTAAACCAAGGCTGTAGTGAGGTCAGGAGCTGAGTGTCCCTGGCAGAATCCAAATTGGGCGTCACTGAGCAGGTTATTGCTGAACAGGTGCTGCTTGGGAGCACAGTTGATGATGCCTTCAGTCATTTTAGTGATAACCGAGGATAGACAGATGGAGTAGTAATTGACCAGGTTGGATTCGTATTGGAACTGTACTGGAAGAGCTTGGCTAGGGGAGCAACAAGTTCTGGAGCACAAGTCTTCATTACTATTCCCAGAATGTAAGCAGGGCGTTCACTGCATCCAGAAGTCACACAACACCAGGTTATAGTGCAACGGGTTTATTTGAAATCGCAAGCTTTCAGAGTGCTGCTCCTTCATCAGGTGAAGTGGAGGGAAGCACACAGGCACAGAAATTATAAGCAGAGAGTAATGGCAAGATATTTCCGGATATTTAAGAGTGTTAAAAGTTAGGTACAAATAGTAATGAGTGGAGTGTCAACAGGCTGAATAACAAGTTTTTGCAGGTGACCAAAAGTGTCAGACGGTGTGCATGAAGTGTCAACAGCTGAAACGTAAATGAAGCGGTGACCTATGATCCGGATAGTTAAGACTGCGAGATAACTACAAAAAGTATGAAAAATAGGATGGTGCTAGAGACAAACCAAGTGCCTGGAAGAACAGGATAGATATGAGTCGCATGACAAGGGTCTAACCAAAGTAACAAGTAATCCAAAACTGTACAAACTAATTAAGGTAAAGAGATAATTACAAGTTATCAAGGTAATGGTGTCAAAACAGAACAGTAAGGAAGATTTTACAAACACAAAACAGTATGGTGGGGTTACATGTAGCACGACATGAACCCAAGATCACGGTTGAGGCTGTCCTCTATGGTCTAGAACTTGGCTATCCTGCTTTTGTTGTGTATTTCAAAGGCTGACTTGGAAAACAATTATCCAAAGTCTTGAGTTACTAGATTTGTTCGAAGCCTATCCCATTTAGCGCGGTGATAGTGCCATACAACATGACAAAGGGTATTCTAAATGTGAAGGCAGAACTTCATTTCCACAACCACTGCGCTCCGGTCACTCTTCCCGATAATGTCATGCTCAGATGCATCTGCAGCTGGCAGATTGGTAAGGGTAAGGCCAAGTATGCTTTTCCCTCTTGTTGGATCTTCACGGCCTGCCGCAGACCCAGTCCATCACCTATGTCCTTTAGGACCTGACCAGATCATAGTGCTGCCAAGTCAATCAATGGTGGACACTAAAATACCCATCCAGAGTACATTTTGCACCGTTGTCACCCTCAGTGTTCCACCAAGTGTTGGTCAACATGGATGAATACTGATTCATCAGCTAAGGGAGGATACTATGTGATAATTAGTAGGCAGTTGCCATGAGAGTTCATGCTGTCTGAAGTCAATGGTGAGGACCCCCAGGCAACTCCCTTCTAATTGTATACCACTGTGCTGCCACCTCTGCTGGATCTGTCGTGTGGGTGGGACAGATCTATCCAAAGATGGTGATGATAGCGTCTTGGACATTGTCTGTCAAGTATGATTCAATGCGTATGACTGTCAGGCTGTGGCTTGACGAGTCAGTGAAACAGATCTCCCAATTTTGGCACCAGCCCACACAGAGGTTAGTAAAGAGGTATTAGCAGGGTCAACAGGGCTGTTTCTGCCATTGTCTTTTCTGGTGCCGAGGTTAATGCTGGGTGATCCATCTGGTTTCATTCCTTTGTTGAGACTTCGTAGCAGTTGATATAACCGAGTGGCTTGCAAGGCCATTTCAGAAGGCAGTTGAGAGTCAACCACACTGCCCTGCGTCCAGAGTCACATGTAGATCAGACCAGGTGAGGACGACAGATTTCTTTCCCTGAAGGAAAATAGTGAGCCAGATGGGCATTTCTGACAATCAAAAATGGTTTCATGATCATCAGTAAAGTCTTAATTCCAGGTTTTTAAAAATTGAATTCCACCATCTGTTTATGACAGGATTGGAACCCAGGGTCCACAAAACATTAGCTGAGATTCTGGATTAATAGTCTGGCAATAATACCACTAGGCCATCACTCGCACCAGCTCTGCCATTCAATATGATCATGGCTCATCATCAAGCGCGCAATACCCTAATCCTGTCCTCCCCCGATTCCATATCATTTGATTCCTTTAGCCACAATAGCTATGTCTATCTCCTTCTTGAAAAAAATGTAATGTTTAACCCTTAACCACTTTGTGGTACTGAATTCCACAGGTTCAATCTCTCATTTGGCAGTCTGCCATCACAAATCAATTTGGTAAACCTTCACTGTACTGCCTCTGCAGGGAGAACATTTTACCTCAGAGAAGGAGACAAAAATTGCACACAGTATTCAAGGTGTGGACTCACCAATGCCTTGCATAATTGCAGTAAGACATCTTGTTTTCCCCCTATACTCGAATCCTCTAGCTATGAAGGCCAACACAGTTTGCCTTCTTGAATCACTGCCTTTTCAGCATCTGGTGCACAAGGACACCCAGGTCTTGGTGAACATTCCCCTCTCTCAGTCTACAGCCATTCAAATAATAATCTGCCTTCCCATTTTTTACTACCAAAGTGGGAAACTTCATGTTTATACACATTATGTTGCATCTGCCGTGCATTTTCCCACTTGCTCAACCTATCCAAAGCACACTATATCATCCATGTTCTTCACAGCTCATCTATCCACCCAGCTTTGTCTCATCTGTAAATTGAGAAATCAATTTAGAGGAGAGAACTAAAAGTAATAACATACGTCACGAATAGCTGGGGTCCTAGTACCAATAACAGCTAGTAAAAAATGGGAAGGCAGATTATTATTTGAATGGCTGTAGACAGAGAGGGGAATGTTCACCAAGACCTGGGTGTCCTTGTGCACCAGATGCTGAAAAGGCATCCCACTTGTTTACTGTCTGCTAACCAATTTTCTATCCATCTCAATACATTACCCTCATCTCATGCACTTTAATTTTGCACATTAATTTCTAATGTGGGAGACTAATGTGTTTGTCAAAAGCCTTCTGAAAGTCCAAGTAAACCTGATCTACCGGCTCCCCTGATTAACTCTACTGGTTATGTCCTTGAAGAATTCCAGTATATTTGGCAAATTTGATTTCCTTTTTGTAAATCTATGTTATCTCCGATTCTACTGCTGTGTTCTAAGAATTGATAATGAACTCTAGCATCTTTCCCATGACCAACATCAATCTCAGTGGTCTATAATTCTGGTTTCTCTCTACATCCCTTTTTAAATTAGTGCATTAACATCCCTCTGGCACACAGCAGCAAATCATTCCATTTCCAAGATACTGCAGTAACTCATCAAGACACTTCAACAGAACCTTCTAAACCTGTATCCTCTACCACCTGGAAGGATAAGGGAAACAGATACATGGGAACACTACCTGCAATTCTGCTTCAAGCCATATACCATCCAACGTTGAAGTGCATCTGTTTCTTCACTATTGCTGGGTCTAAACCCTGGAACTCCATTCCTTACAGCACTCTGGCTGTACCTACATTAGGTAGATGAAAGGCAGCTCACCACTACCTTCTCAAGTGTACTTAAGGTTGGACAATAGATGCTGACATCCCAGAAGAGACGAAATTAACAAATACGTTACCTCTCGGCACAACACTTGTAACCCTCCATAAAGCTAGTATGTAACTTTTGTGCTTGACTGGTTCACTAGGATTGATGACATGTGAAATCAAAAGAAACCCATGCCCTCAGATAAAAATATTTATACCTGAGTAGTTTGTGAAGTTTTTCAGATCCTCCAGATCTATTGGTATTTGTGCTCCAGATATTAAAACCTGACAACAGGAAAAAATAGAGATTAAGAAAACACACAAAAATTTGAAAATTTAAACAGCTTTGGAATTGACAATAAGCTCTTCATTTTCTTGCTATTTTTTCCAGAAGAAATTCTTTAACTCATCATATCTTAAAAACACTTCAGTATGTATATGAAATGCCATAACCTACACAGCTAGACTATGGAGCTGTAGGTGGGATTAGACAGGGGAGCTCATTTTTAACCAAATGACATCTTTCTGCACAGTAGATCTTCAGAGAAGCAGACTTCATATAGGATAGAAAAAGGCCCTTAAGCCCATCAAGTCTGCTGTGGTCAAAAACAAGTACCTAAGTATTCTAATCTCACTTTCCAGCACTTGGTCCACAGCCTTGTCTGCCTTGCATCCCAAGTGGATATCTGAATACTTGTTAACATGTGGGTTTTTGCCTCAACCACCCTTATAAGCAGTGAGTTCCAGAACCCTACGGCCCATATGGGTGAAAGAAAACTTTTCCTCACATACCCTCTAAAACTGCCCTTTTGCCTAAATTTATGTCCCCTAGTCATTGATCCCTCCATCAAGGGGAAAGAGTTCCTTCCTCTTTGCCCTATGTCCCTTATAATTTTATACATCACAATGCTCCGTCAGTTCCACAAAAAATAGCCTCAGCGTATCCACTCTCTTGAAAACTGAAACTCTCAAACCCAGACAAAATTCTAGTAAAATGTCCTCTGCAGCCTCTCTAGTGCAATCGCATCCTGTAGCATGGATTCCAGAACAAAGCAAAATATAGTAACGTAGAAAATAGCTGGAACAAGCCATTTAGCCCCTCAAGCTACTGCACCATTCAAATACAAATGACTGATCTTCTATCTCAATGTCATTTTCTAATGCATTGTTCCTATATCGCTTGATATTTTTGATATCTACAAATCTATTGATCAAAGTTTTGAACATAAATCAATGGACTGGGCCTCTACAGCCCTCCGGGGTACCGAATTCCAAACTTGCTACCCACTGATCACAAAAAGTCCCTCATCTCATGAATGGGCAATCCTTTATCCTGCCCCCTTTGGCTTTTCGAATTCCAGCCAGGGAGACATCCATTCATCACTACTTGCTTATTCCCACTTGGTTTTCTGTTAACCAAATCGCAGTCTACTCCAGGACATTACCCCCTATGCCATGTGTTTTTGCTTTGTTTACTAACCTGATGTGTCCGACATCATCAGAAGCTTCCTTAATATCCAAATAGGCCTCAATCACTCATTTATTCTCCTAGTTACATCCTTAGAAAACTCAAAGTTTGACAAATATGATTTCCCTTTCATAAGTCCACATTGGCCTAACATAATTTTCCACATGTCCATTTATCACATCCTTTATAACAGTCTAACATTTTCCCTACTACTAATGTCAGACTCATTGGTCTGCAGTTTCCCATTTTCTCATTTCTTAAACGGTGGACTTGTATTTTCTACCTCCTGATGTACAGGAACCATTTCAGAATCTACAGATTTCTCGAAGATGATCAACAATTTCTCTTTCATCTCTACAGCCCACCTCTTTCAATTCTCTGGAATACAGATTATCAGGTCCGGGGAACTTACCAACTTCTGGTCATAGCCATGGCTTTCTTTCTGTCGCTTTCTCAGTTATAATGTAGTAACAAGATTTTTTTTAAGCATTTTTCTAACTTTCCAACATTTAAAGAACCTCACCCCTCCCCCAGAGCAGTGTATTAACTTACACATTAACAACCAGTCCACTAGAGTAGTTACTTATCATGTATGATTTTGTGATGCCACTAATTATCTTTTACTTCTTGAAACTCAGCACTCCCTGACCTCTCACTGCCTTGCTCCCAATTCTAAATTTAATTCACCAATTAAATAGTCTGCTTTTTTGTTATTATTCTCTATTTCTGTAATACCAATTTTTACAGTAAGCAAGCTGTGAGAGTAAATTAGTGTTCAGGAATATTATTGCAATTTTTAATGGTTATAAAGGCACCTGAATTTATTCTGTACTAGAAAAAATAATCCTTAACCATGAATAAACTTTGCAACAGCAGCCTAGAAGTACAAGGTAAAAATGTGCAAGTCTTGGTTTATATAACCATATGAGAGTAAATGTATTCCAGAGAATTAAGAGGCTTACACTCTTGCAACGGGTTAGCCTCTGGATCTTTATGTATTACTTAGACCTTTTAAAAAAAAATTTAAAAGGTCACCTTCAGTTTCCAATGTGGCTCTGTCAATAAGCATAATATCTAATTTGCAAATGAGTATTACATCTTAAAATCTAAGTTTGAACTTTTCTTCTCCTACAAATTCTAGATCAGTTCATCTATCCCAGAGATCCAGAACAATTCTGTACCATACCACCAAATACACAACTGGAGTGTACTATTTTCAAGGGTTATGGAAGCAGATTAATTTGTAACTTTAACAGGCAATTGAATAAACAAAGAAAAACTTTGTGGGGCTATAGGACAAGGACAACTAAAAAGTGCTATTTGATAGCTCTTTCAAACAGCCAGTACAAGCATGATGGGCTGAAGCATCTCCTTCTATGCTGTCTCACTTTATGGAAATAACAATTGATCACGGAACTTCTATCTGTATGCTCAATGACACTCTATATGTTACTCTATATGGTCATTGAGTTAAAAATATTTAAACACTTAAAACAATCTTACGTCAAAGTACAAGTACCATAATTAGCTGATTAAAATATCGCAAAAGAAACGCAGCGTTATTCCAAAACATTAGAGTCAGACATCTACAGCACAAAAAGGCCCTTCAACCTTTCATGTCTGCGCCAGTCAAAAACAATCATTTAACTATTTTAAACCTGTTTTCCAGCAAAACAGGGTCACGAACGCTGGACCCTCGGATTAAAAGTCTGATGCTGTACCAACTGCCATATTGACCAAGCTACATTCAAAGCATCAGAGAAAGAAACAGCACGAGAGGCTACTTAATCTACTGTTCCAGTGGCAGGTTTTTGGTTGAGCTGTTCAATTAATCCTAGCAGCCTGCTCGCTCCCTCCCTTGACTCGATGCTGCCACTGCCCCACCCACCCCCTCTTCTGTAACTAGTAGAGCTATTTTATTAAATACCCTACCGATTTTGAAAAAACATTGACTGGAACAGAAAAACAAAAGAACAAAAAATCCCTCTTTACAAGTTAAATCTGTGGAAAGTTGTTGAATACAATTCAGAGACTATAAATTCGAAGTTTCAGTAGTTGTCAAGTGTGACTAAAAGTAATGTCACCATTGAATTATTTCCACAAGTGACAGATTTCCACCTATGTACTGATGAATTTTAAAAAAGTCAAAGACATCTTTATATAGCATTATTTATGACCAAATGTTTCAAAGTGCTTTACAACCAATTCATTCTTTTTGAAGATATCCAATGCAACAATCAATTTACACAAAGCAATAAAGAATAATAAGGTTAATACCCAAATAATCTGCATTTAATGTTGTTGCAAGATGAAAAAAGTGACCAGGATGCCAAGGACAACTGCCCTGGTTGTCTTTCAAGAGTACCATGGCATTTTTGTGTGTCTATTTCAGAAGGTAGGCCAGACAGCAACTTAACATCTCTACCGAAAGAACGCCAATGATTTTTATGTTCAAGTACTGGAGTGGCTACAATAACTGCATCATTTGAGCCACAGATGACATTGAGAAATTTAGGAAATTGGATCACAATGAACAGTTATTAGGCTAAGTTGTTAATATTTGCTGATATGTGCTTTCCTTTTAAAAAAGAATTAAATTTACTAAGTTTCTTCCATCATGCTGTGGTAAAAATAGGTTTCTGGTGATGTGGGTAAAAAAGGAAGACAAAGTTACATAGCTACAAAAAGCTCATAAAATTGTTTACCTGAAGCTCTTGTTGGTCAAACATCCTCAGCCATTCTAGGTTCACAACATTAGCAACCCCCTGTCGGAATGCAAGACAGTGTGGTCGGATCTGTTTGTTGAGCCTGTAGTCCGCAACAAGATGGATGTAAGCTATTCTGTTAGCACTGGTTACGGGAATATCCTTTCCACCCAGCTTCAGTTCAACCACCTAACGTATAAAAGATTTTTCATTAGAATTCTGCATTAATATATTAATTGATTCAACAAACATGTTAGGAACATACAGTTGCAGAAACTAACATTAAAGTTAGGTTATATTTTAAGTTGATCACTTTCTCAATCTTTTCTACTTTCTTGAAGGAAATGCTGCAGTCAGGTTTCCACTCTGCTACAAAACTGAAACAGCTCTTAGTAAAGTCACAGATGACATCTTATGTGTATCTAAAATGGTAAACTTACCCATCTGGTCCTTCTTAACCTACATGCAGCCTTCAGCCTGACCTCAGCAGCGTTCGCTGACACCTCTTCACTGTCGTTCAGCTAGTTCTGGTTGGATTCTTCTATTTACATTCTTGTCAAACTAGTAAAGGCTGGAGAATCAACTGTAGTGGCCTCTCTACCCGCTGCCACTCCTATTAACTCTGGTGTTTGCCCCAAAGATCTATCACTTGCAGCCAATTATCTCTCAATTTCATTCTTATTTGTTGGGGAGATGTGGGCTTCACTGGCTGGGTCTGCCTTTATTGGTCATTCCTTATTGACCTGCAGAAAGCGGTGATGAACTGCTTTCTTGAACTGCTACAGGCCATTTGGTCTAAGAATACCTACAATGCCAGCAACAGTGAAGGAATGGTGGGTTGAAAGAGAATTTGTCGGTGGTGTTCCCATGAATCTGCTTTCCATGTCCTTCCAGATGGTAGTGATCGTGGGTTTGGAAGGTGCTGTCAAAGCAGCTGTAGTGAATTTGTGCAATGCATCTTGCAGATGATTTACGCTATTGCTATTGAGCATCAGTGGAGGATGGAGTGAATGTTTGTGGGTGTGGTGTCAGACAAGCAGGCTGCTTTGTCCTGGATGGTGTCAAGCTCCTTGAGTGTTGTTGGAGCTGCAACCAGACAAGTGGGGAGTATTCCTTTGCACTTCTGACTTGTAGATAATGGACAGACTCTGGGGAGACAGGTGCTGAGCTACTCGCTGCAGGATTCCTAACTTCTGACCTGCTGCTGAAGCCAGAGAACTTATATGGCTATAATAAAACCAAAATACTGTGGATGCTGGAAATCTCTGACGTATGAAGAAAAAACACTTGAAAAATTCAGCAGGTCTGTAAATATCAATGGAGAGAGAATCAGTTAACAGCGAGTCCAATATGACTTCTTCTATTCTGAAAATTAATACCCGACTCAAAATTTTAACATGGTTTCTCTCTCTGCAGATACTTGCAGACCTCCTGAATTTCTACAGCATTTTCTATTATCATCTGTGTGGCTGGTCCATTTGGGTTTCCAGTCAAACGTAATACCAGGATATTGATTATTGATGATTCAGCAATGGTAATGCATTTGGGCATCAAGCAGCAATGGTTAGATTCTCGTTTGTTGGAGATGATCATGGCCTGGCACTTGGGTGGTATTAATGATAGCTGTCACAGACATGGATAGCTTCAGTTCTCAGTGCCATCCCCTGAAATCGCTACTCATTTCAACATCTGCTCTAACATCACTCAATTCTCTCAAACCTGCCAACTTTTCAATCTGCGATTTAACCTTCCCAGCTATACAGAAAAACAGAAATAAGATTAGGAGTCAAAGGGGAGGAAAAAATGGTAAAAATGCAACAAAAATAGCTCTCCACTTCAGTTAACACACTATTTGGAACAAACTGCACTATTACAGATAGTCTTATAGCCCTTATACAGACATGGTTACAAAGAGATTAAAGCTGGGAACTAAGTACTCACGGGTATGGGACTTTTCAGGAAGGAAAGGATGTTGGTGTTATTCTATCCTGTACCAACAGTGTAAGTACAATAGCAAGAAATAATCTTGGATTGGAAGATGTAGAATCCACATAGGTGGAGGTAAGAAATAAAACAGGGACGATGATAAAATTAACTGCCAGAGGAAGAGGTAGATGCAGCTACACGGTAGATGCAACATTTAAACAACATTTGGACAAGTACTTGAATGGGAAAGGTTTAGAGGAATATGGGCCAAACACAGGAAAATGGGGGTAGGTTACTTTGGGAAACCTGGCCAGCAGGACAAATTGGATTGAAAGGTCTGATTCCATGCTGTATGACACTGTGCCTATTGGAGAAGGAACAACATTTGACCTTTTGTTGGAAAATAAGGCAGGGCAAGTGACTGTGGTGACAGTGGGGGAGTACTATGGGGCAAGTGATTATAATTCTATTAGTTTTAAAATAGTTATGATTTGTTCAAAAAGTTAAAGTTCTAAATTGGAGTAAAGCCAATTTTGACAGCATTAGACAGGAACTTTCAAAAGAGCATGTAGGATCCAGAGGAGCCAACTAGATACAAAATTGGCTTGAAGGTAAGAGGCAGAGGGTGGTGGTAGAGGGTTGCTTTTGGGACTGGAGGCCTGTGACCAAAAGTGTACCACAAGGATCAGTGCTGGCGCAGTGCTTTTCATCACTTACCTATAACCCCACCTGCAGTGAAGAATTCCAGAGTCAATACCACCGTCAAAGAAACAATTCTTGATCTCGGTCTTAAATGGGCAACTAATTATTCTGAGATTATTCCCTCCAGTCCTAGATTCTGCCAGAAGGGGAAACAACCTTTTAGCACCTACCCTGTCACGTCCCCTAAGAATCTTACCTGTTTCAATAAGGTGCTCACTTGATCTCAAACTGCAATTAGTAAAGCCCAATCTACTCAACCTTTCCTCAAGACAAAATCCTTCCATTCCCATAAAAGCTACTTAGTCTCACTCCCACGTCTTTTCCTTCTAGTCCTGCCAATTTCTTCTCATTAAACAAAATTCAGAATAAATTGTATTTAGTGCAAGCAGTAATTCAGCAACATGGGCTCACAGCAAGTTGTGCCAAGGTCACAGGAAAATGGCGCTTACCTCCTGTGAATTATACTAAAACCGGCTAAACTATTGTGTAGGAGTTACCAATGCAGCACCACATGAGCAGAAATGGCTTACACTGAAAACAGACATACAGATGTACTAAATTTAAGGTATCCATGCTTGTGTATGCAAATATTCTGATGGTGCAGAAATGACTTATCTAGCCTAAGACATATAACCTACTGTTTTCAGTTGATTTGCTACTGTATAGCGTCTAAGTTAGGAAAGATTTGTACTTTGTTAGAAGGTTATTTGTCTGTTTAGATGACAGCTATTGCAAAAAAAAAATTTCACAAGGGAGGATAAGTTTCACACATTAAAAGTAAAAATTTAAAATGCCTTCCTATACATAACAGGAACCATACCATATACACCGATCTTTTAAACTCCTGAAAGTACTCATTTAATTTCAACTTAAAATCTACCTTAACTAAGTTTGTTTCAGTTTTTCCTCCCAATTAAATTCAGCAGGCATGTTTACATAGCAAGCTTGCAGAAACTCTCTGACAATAACAATATCCTTTGCTCAACACATTTCGGTCGCGCATTGTGAATCGTAAATTGCAAATGTCAAAAGGTCAGTGCCATAGTAATTACAGATCTCTTCAAACAATAAAGCCTTATATTGTTGTGTAAAATACTGCCTATGGAAACTAGTTGAAAGTTTAGTTGAATTTGCTACAGTTGGGACTGGACCAGGGAAACAATGATTTTGCTTAAAGCTAAGGAAAGTAAGACCAAAAGTCAATATTAAAGGTCATTTGTTTTATTCTTGTATTAAAAAATATCTGGGTTACTTAATTTGTATTATGCTAACCTGTAATATCCTAAAACTAGTGTTACACAACTATTATTATTTGGAATGTAATCAAATTTTTAAAAAATGTTAAAATTACTTCAAAAAACATTTGTAAAGAGAGGTTAATAACACAGTTAAAGCTAAGCAAACAGGTATGGCAATAAACAGGTTACAACTATTCGAAGGAAACACAACCCGACATTTAAATAACAAGCTTGAGATTGAAATGACCAGCTTTATGACAGTGGAAAAGGCCACTAATAAATTCCAGAAAAAGTCAGAAAAACCTAATTGTCATGTTTTGTACACAGTTACACCAGGTCAGACATACAACACCTTCATTTACACCTCACAACTGAAAATGATCAATAAAACTTCATCTCCGACAAAGAGTTGAACTAAGATTACTGCCACAAGTGTGCTGTATCTTTAATCTGTCTTACAAGCAGATAAATTAATTATTAACTGCAATTCAAGAAGAACCAACCTGTGCTTCTCCAAGCTCATTGTTCACCACTGTGAAATTGAGTCCAAGTTCCTCCACATCCCCTTCATAGCTCTTTAAGAAAAGCAGGTTTTTGTACATTTCAGGATCCAACGACGCAAGATGATGAATGTCAACATCTGCACTCGTGCCCAAAAGCTTGGACAAAAAGAAACTGGCGAAAGGAAGTTCAACCAACATGTTTTCATAAAGGGCCTGCAATAATCAGAACAAGAGAAATAAGCAACAAATTAGCAATTGATTCTATTTTCAGGTGCAGCATGACAAAAAATATCCAGATTCCAGTCTAATAACCACCCTTCTGTTGCAATGGCATGTACACTGTACTACATTTACCAAAGTCTTAAACCAAAATTAAAGCTAAAGCTTTGTCTGACAATGTTACTTTATGATAAAACAAATCCAGACCTTCAATTTTATGGTAGAAATTTGACATGAAACAGTGGTTCAAGACATTAACGAAGTTTCCCTATAACTTTAAAATGTTATGTTTCCTGTAATTCCCACTTGATGGTTGTTCAGTCAGCACAACTTTTAACAAGTTAAAATGTAACACAAAGATAAAATAAATTAAGACAAAGACAGGCAGATAGCTGAAGTGATTAAGAAATATTTTAAAAACCACTTTTCATCTCAGGATCTTCATCTTCGCAGCATTGTTTTTGCCTTTGGCTAGATTACAAATAATGCAAGTGCGGACCCAGATTTGAACACGTATTTAAATGCAAATTAAAATGCACTTCAGATTAGTCACGAAACTTGATATATCAAGGTCAGCAGAAATTTAAAAAGAAATGTGAACTGATTGACTTTGTAACATGCAGACTGACTTTTTGAACGTGCAAGTTCTTTGATCAAGTCCTATTAATATTCCAGTTATGAAGCTTCAACAATATCAAGGAAAGCTATGATACAATTCAAAGGATCTATGTTTTTATGGTTATATTTACAGCCCAAAATTCTGCCAAAATTATTGAGCTAAAATTGATTAATTATGCAGGAAACCTTTTTAATACAAGTAAGTGCTGTGCAATTAATGCAAATGGTGGTGCAACCTGGAAAATAAATGTGAACAACATCAAAAGCTGCCAAATAGATTTAATAACTTATGGCATGAAGAATCAATAAAGAAACAAAATGCCTACTTTGGTCATCAATCGGAACTATACTGTACATAAACATTCACCTTCACAATAAACAGATGCCATAAAATAGAATATCATTGCCAAATGAATACTTTTACTTAAACAGGAGTTATTGGGTAACCCATTTGTGCAGGACACTATAAATTGTTCTCAAAGTCAAGTACAGACTCCAAAGTAAAAGGAAAAAACTAACATAACCTTGGGAAAAAAAATACACGCATCAAAAAGATGGTACTTTAAAAAAGTAGAATGCCATACACAATGCAATACTACACATGCATAAAACAAACAAGTTATTAAAAACCTGTCTGGAATACGAAAATCAGAATCCTTAATTTAAGTTGTTCTAATATGTACAAACTTTGCCTTTAAAGTACAGAATGGAGAGGAAATTATTATTGCCACAAAAAAAGTCCAGTGATTGATTACAAGTACATCAGCCAAGTTTCTCTGCAATTGGTGACCACTTAAAATCGTGACAAGCGCACCTTTGGTCCTGAAATTTCTGACACCGTGACTGCAGCAAGTTCACAATTTTCATTAATAAGAAACTTCAATTCCTATACAATGAAGAAACCACCTGACATTATGCACACACATCTCTGGAGTTGAATGCAGAAACCATCTCTCACATGATCAGTCCAATGACCAGATGTGTAATAGATAGGAAATGAATTGGACCAAACCAAATTTATGTTATGATCTGGCAAGGGACCAGTCGCATTTTGTTTTAAGTAGACAGATATCCAGGAGACTTACTGAGAGAATAAAGTACAAAATTCTACTGCTTTGAACAAACAAACTTTACTATACAACATTAGAACAGTAATACAATCTACACTATGTGCACAAATTATATTTTAACACCCAGAATTAATATGTAGTCCATGTGGAAAAGAGACTATGACTGAACACATCACTGCACAAATAAAAATAGAAAATTCAATCAGGAGAGATCTCTCAGCAACTTCAGGCACTTACATCACAGGGAAATCACCAGATCTCATTAAAATTCAAGAATCAGAATTCTTCACTTTTCCCCATCTGCTCTTGAAACTCACTCAAAAAAAAATGCTCCGTGATGCATTGCTTCTTCAGAGCACCTTAGCTTTCTCCAACACAGAGCCAGCAACTTTCCTACTTTCTCAGCCCCCAAGAACTTCTTGCAACTCTTGACTCCCAACACCTAGCTGCTATTAATGCTTGGAAAGCTCTCCCCAGTTCAAACAGCACAGGGCCATCCAGGTGTTTTTGATGATGCTGCTTGGCCTGCTGTGTTCATCCAGCCCTGCACCTTGTTGTCTCGGATTCTCCAGCATCTGCAGTTCCTACTATCCCAGGTGTTTTTGATGTTCCTGCATAAAATCTGTATAATGTCACATCGATTAGTCATCCTGCTCCCTTTCACTAATTATCCAGGTCACTTCAGAGGGGATTTGAAGTCAACTACAATGCAGATCCAATCAAGTGGTACTGGTGGGAATCCTTATCTCAAGGCAAATGCAATGCTAAACCAGATTTACTAGTTGTGGAGCTAGAACTTACAACCTGTGGGTTCAGTTCAGTCCCACAACATCATCTCATTACTGAGCCACTGGCCTATACAGCAGTGTTTTCTAATGGATAATTCAGTGTAGGAAGTACTTTTAGACACTGACGGCAAACTGTTTCTTCATCCTTTGTTGGTCCTTCCTACAGGGATTTATAGTTCATTACAGTCAAACGTGGAATTAGAAATAGCAATTTGCATCAACAAGACATACTGTACTCTAGAAATATGATTTCCAAGCTGAAGACAAGAGAATTCAAGGTACAATAATAAATGCTATATATCAATAATCTTTACTGGAAGTACTTCTGATATACAGTACATGGATTCTCAATTTGAGAGATATTTATAAATGAAGTGTCTGCGATAAAAAGCCTTAGATGTATTACTTCATCACTGATTACCATTTTCAACCTTTCATCGTTTGGACATTTGATTTCCATTATGACTTTTAACATCAATATATGTAAATGCTTTTAACCTTGATGGCTGGAAATTTTAATTTTTAAGAAACAAATCAATATTGCAAATTACAAATTGTAATTTACTGCCAATCTATTTTGAAACCTGTTACATCATACAACAACACATATACCAGTTATTTCAGAATATCTATAGATTCACTTTGCAGCCAGTTATGTTTGAAAATGTTCAAAATTATACCTATGGGAAACTTAATGATTGAATCAGTTAAACAACAATTAGCAGAGTCACACTGGAGGATTTATTCTTCAATCCATCATTTGTATTGTGTCAGCTTAGTTCAGTCACAGCACATGCCTTTGAATTAGATTGTGGATTTAAGCACACAGGCTAGCACTTCAGCGTGGTGTTGAGGGAGTGCTGCCTTGTAAGAGATGCCATCTTTTGGACAAGAGATGAAATTCAGGCAAATAATATACATTTTAAACAGAATTCCACTGGTGTAGATGCAATGTTGACAGATTACTCCCGATGAACTATTTTGAAGTTCAGACTTTCTCATACCCAACCATCCAAACCTGTTTTCTCTTCAGTTCATCATCACTTGGCATTGTCCATTTTTCGATCAGGCTCAAAGTGCAAGAGAATCTGGAGAATTGGATGCATTGCAACGGTCATAAGCCAGTTGAAGAATGAATGAATCCTCAACAGATTTCTCTCAAGTATGTGATAGTAATTGATAATCCTGTTCTCAGACATAATCAGTATGGTAAAGAACATCACATTTTTATAAGTGTAAATAGATCAAAGACAAAATAGTAATACAAATGAAAACGGTCATGATCTATTATCATAGAAACATAGAAGATACGAGCAGGAGGCAGCCATTCAGCCCTTCGAGCCTGCTCCATCATTCTCTTAATTCATTCACGGGATGAGGGCGTCACTGACCAGGCAGCATTTATTGCCCATCCCCAATTTCCCAGAGGGCAGTTTAGAGTCAACCACATCGCTGTGGGACTGGAGTCAAATGGAGGCCAGACCAGATAAAGATGGCAATTTCCTTCCCTAAAAGGACATCAGTGAACCAAATAGGTTTTTCCAACAAATGACGAAGGGTGCATGGTCATCTTTAGATTCTTAATTCCAGATATTTTTATTGAATTCAAATTCCACCATCTGCTGACGAGAGATTCAAACCTGGGTCTCTGGATTAACAGTCCAGCAAAAATTGCCTCCCCGTGATTCATAACAATCATGGCTGATCATCCACCTCAATAGCCTAATCCTGCTTTCTCCCCATAACCTTTGATCCCAGTCGCCCCAAGTGCTATATCTAGTCACCTCTTGAATACATTCAATTGTTTTGGCATCAACTACTTTCTGTGGTAATGAATTACACTGGCTCACCACTCTTTGGGTGAAGAAATGTCTCATCTCTGTCTTAAACTGTCTACCCCGAATCCTCAGACTGTGACCCCTGGTTCTGGACACCCACCATCAGGAACATTCTCCCTGCATCTACCCTGTCTAGTCCTGGTTAGAATTTTATCTGAGATCCTCCCTCATTCGTCTCAACTCCAGGGAAACAATCCTAACCTAGTCAATCCCTCAATCCCTGGAATCAGCCTGGTAAACCTTCGCTGCACTCCCTCGAGAGCAAGAGCATCCTTCCTCAGAAAAGGATACCAAAATTGCACACAATATTCCAGGTGTGGTCTCACCAAGGTCCTGTGCAACTGCAACAGCACATCCCTGCTCCTGTACTCGGAATCTCTCGCAATGAAGGCCAACATATCATTTGCCTGCTGTAACTGCATGCCTACCTGCAGCAACTGGTGCAGAAGGACATCCAGGTCTCACAGCACAGCACACTCCCCTCTCCTAATTTACAGCCATTCAGGTAGTAATCTGCCTTCTTGTTTTTGCTTCCAAAGTGAATAACCTCACATTCATCCAGATTATACTGCATCTGCCATTGATTTGCACACTTACCCAACCTGTCGAGATCATGCTGGCGGATCTCTGCATCCTTGTCACAGTTCACCCTCCCACCCAATTTGGTATCATCTACAAAC